AATTTTGCCACACCGCCAGACAGAGCAGCCGGACCTATTGTACTGTCGGAGAAAAACATCACTTAATAACTTTACCCAGTTAAGTTGCAGTTGTGTGTGTGATTTAACAAAATCCTTTATTTCTCGTCCTTCCTTCTCAGGAGTATTTCACGGAGCAGTTGCGAATAGAGGGTGTGACCCACCTGCCCAGGACAGTCACCAGCGATGTCCAGAGCACTGAGCGCTATAACGTTTACACTGAGGGAGGGGTGCTGTTTGTGACCAGCAGAATCCTGGTGGTCGACTTCCTCACTGACCGCATCCCGGCTGATCTCATATCAGGTCAGCCCACTGTCTGATCGTGGCTGAAACGAGAGCCGTGTTTGTTTTGATCTTATTATCACTAACTATTATTAGTCTGTTACTTTGTATTTCTTGTTGGTGTATTTGTATTTGTATCGTATGTCAGTTACAAGAGTAACACTGTCCACCAAAAGACACTTGATTGAAGTGATTGACAGGTCTTTTTATATGGGAACAAGAGAGACAATAAATAATAAACAACAAAGCCAAAGTCTATCATTTTTGCTTATATTGTAAACAGAATAAATAAGCCAATATCCTAAATTAGAGGCAGTGGACAAACACAAATAATAGTTAGTTAATAAGAGTTTTTATTTATTTATTTTTTCATTTTAAAGTAAAACTGTGAAAAATGTGAAAATGTGTGTAAATTGTGTCAAAAGACCCCTTAAATTAAGCTTTTAATTTTAATGTAGCTGTACCAGAGAATAAAATCACAATAAACACAAAAAGTAGAGGTAATTTCATCCAAAAAAGACTCAAGTGATGTAGTATTTATCGCTGGGTAAAGCATTGAATTATATTTTACAGGTTTTTCTGGTCTCAAACCAAACCAAACCAAACCGTAGAGTAACATTCACAGACTACCTTTCTGTACTACCCCTCAGGTATCCTGGTGTATCGCGCTCATAAAATCATTGAGTCGTGTCAGGAGGCCTTCATCCTTCGTCTGTTCAGACAGAAGAACAAGACCGGCTTCATTAAAGCCTTCACTGACAAGGCCACGGCCTTCTCCTCGGGCTTCTGCCAGGTGGAGCGGGTGATGAGGAACCTCTTCGTCAAGAAACTCTACCTGTGGCCCAGGCACGATTAAACCCAATAAACCTTTTTCTCTGCAGACATTTAGTCATAGCCGGATGTGTAATTAATAACACTCATAAAGAATATAAAAAATCTTGTCCTTTTTTTTTTTTTTTCTTTACCTTTCTCTCTTTACCTGCATTATTCAACAGGTTTCAAGCATCAGTAAACACAGCTCTGGACAGGCATAAGCCGGAGGTGGTGGAGCTCCATGTGTCATTGACGCCGGCTATGAGGGCCATCCAAAGCTCCATCCTAGACATCATGGGTGCCTGTCTGAAGGAACTGAAACGCTACAACCCCACCCTGGAGGCCGAGGACCTCTCCCTGGAGAACACGCTAGGCAGCGCCTTCGACAAGGTCTGTCCCTGTGTTAATTACACACATTAATACTTTGAAACTAAATTTAATGTTGAAATTAAATAAAATGTTAGGACAAGATTAGTGATTAATGTATTGAATGGTGGAAAAAAAAAACTGTCTCAAAAAACTGTAGTTGTGATTGTTGTTGTTGTTGATGCCCTGTATGTGAGCTGATTTTTTATTTTTAAGGTTGGGTTTTTCTTTCCTTCCTTGTTTCCCATACAGACCATCCGTCACTACCTGGACCCTTTGTGGCACCAGCTGGGAGCAAAGACCAAGGCCCTGGTCCAGGACCTTAAAGTGCTGAGGGTTCTCCTGCTCTACCTCACCCAGTACGACTGTGTGACCTTCTTCAATCTGCTCGAGTCGCTGCGCTCCAGCCAAAAGATCTTTGGATCCAATTCAGGTAAACTAGCTGCTCTGAGCACTTACTTGGAAGTACTTGGGGTAAGAAATTATACTTAATCTTTGTTAATAATCACCTTTATCCTTGTTTGATTGCATGTGTATGTTGTTATAACCATCAGGGTGGTTGTTCCTCGACTCCAGTACCTCCATGTTTGTGAATGCCAGGGGCAGAGTGTACCACATCCCTGAGAGCAAGAAGAAACTCAAAGTGGGAGCGGAGGCAGAGAAACCGAAGTCATCCCCTGCTTTAGGTAACTGACCAATAAACAGCTCTCTGACATTCTTTAGAGTAGATATCAGCAATGATACCTGATTGTATTTTGATCTTGAAATGACTAAAGGCTCTGTGTAATTCTGTGTGTTTCAGAAGTGAAACGGCAACTGGTGCTGGAGAAGAGCCCAAAGTGGGAGGCTCTGACGGAGGTACTGCAGGAGATTGAGAAAGAGAACAAGAGCTCTCAGCATGAACCAGGTTAGAGCTCAGTTCTGTTAAAGCGTTATAAGGGTCCATCATGTCAACAGTGTATGTCCCCTCTCTTCTGTGGATTTGCATATAATGTACTACATTACATACAATAGAATTTCATAGCAGCTACCTTTTAGTTTAGAAAAAGTGGTTCTGTTCTGTATATAAAGTACTTTTAGTAAATGTTGGCCTTCTACATAGCACTTGCATAAGAAAAGGATAAAAGAGAATTGAATTCAAATTTATATTTAGAACCAGCAGCGAGGCCAGCCCGAACACAGCTGACATTTCACAGAGTCATCCTCGGGGTGTGCTGGTTTGTCCTGGTTTACTGCCATGTGCTACTGCTTTGTAGACTACATCATACTAGGGATAGGTATCAAAACCCTCTATTAAATGACCCCAGACCTAAATTAAAGACCTTAGTATTGATAAACTCCGACGTGACTGGTCCTGTTGACAGTATTAGTTATTAATATTATGAAATGAAGACATTTGTCTATGATGCATTTACGCTATTCCCAAACCAAAGGAGAGATCTCTCTCTCGGAGCGTGTGATGTGCGAGAATCTCTGTGCCTCTCTCTCACACATGCAAATACACACACAGAGTGACCCTGTTCTGCCCTTCTCTCTAAACGCTCAGAACTCTGGTTACACTTCACTCGAGTCGACGCGGGCAATGCTCGAGGAGCAACAAATCTTTCGCATGTAAGGGCGGAAACACAAGCAATATTTTCCAACATCAAGCGAAAGCACATCACATAGAAGCAGAGAAATGCGCAGTTTCTAACTAACTACACATTGTAGCTCGGTTCTCGTTGCCCCATCCACTTCAAGTTATGTATGCTAGCAGCCTAGAGCCCACATGGAGTAAATTCTACACAAGTTAATGATTAAAGGTAACCATTCGCCAGCTGATTGTTTAGCTGTACATTTGGGTGTGTACAGAAATGAAATCAGACATGGCCAGAGCATCCTCTCACATCATATTGTAGGCTATGTAGTTGTTAAATTACTATGACTTAAATATATATAATTTATATACATTACAAGGAAATAAAGCAATGGGGTGTCCTGATAGCTCACCTGGTAGAGCTGGTGCACCACAGCTACTAGTGTTATTAGTTACACTTGTATTTGTTAAGTCCCAATATCCACGGTCAAAATGGTGTATTTATACTTGCCACGTATATGTTCGGGTTATTTCACTGTTAGTTAACAGAAGGGTGTCCACTCTTGCCTAACGCTGTTGTTCGTGTGTATCTGTCTAACTGCCTAACATTTCACCCCCAGGTCCAGTGCTGATCTGTGCCAGTGATGACAGGACTTGTGCCCAGCTGCAGCAGTACATCAGGCACGGGTCTGACTGGCTGCTTAACAGACTCTATGCCCGCACAATCGGCAAACAGGACTCTGCTGCAGCCGCTGCCTTCGAACTTGAATCGCACAAAAAGGCCAAAGGCTGGCCTAAAAAAGGAGCCAAGGGCAAGGAGCCTGCACAGAAAAAAAACGCAAAGTCCACAAAGAGTAAAAAAAGGCCCTCCCTGACCCTGACCCAGATGGTGGGGAAAGAGGAGACAGATGAAGTGCCGGCCATGGGCAGCAGTGGGGATGATGATGAACTGATGGAGGAAGAGGAGGAAGAAGAGCTGAAGCTGGACTTGTCATCAGATGCCTACTATGGCGTCCTAAAGGAGCCGCTGACCGTCATTCACCCACTGAAAGGCCTCACCGACCCCCACAGCTTGACGCGGGTTCTGCATGAGGTGGAGCCCAGTTTCGTGGTGCTGTACGACGCTGAACTCAGTTTCGTCCGCCAGCTGGAGATCTACAAAGCGAGCCGGCCCGGAAAGCCACTCAGGGTGTACTTCCTCATCTACGGAGGCTCAACAGAAGAACAGAAGTACCTGACGGCGCTATCTAAGGAAAAGAAAGCCTTTGAACACCTCATCAGGTCAGAACCATTTCTTCCTTTTCTCTGTCCTCAAAGCACCTTATTATATGTTGATGTGTGCTTGGTTAAAGTTTTGGCTCCTAATTGGTGCTCGTATATGTGTTTCTCTGCAGGGAAAAGGCTACTATGGTCATCCCAGAGGAGAGGGAGGGACGAGAAGACACCAACCTGGACCTTGCTAGAAATCTAGAGCCTGCCAATGCCACCACCAACACCCGCAAAGCAGGCATGTCTACTTCTATTTTTTGATTGTCTTTGTATTTGGTGTCTTCTCAAGCGTGTCATTATTTTGTACTTCCATTTCCTGTCCAATAACCAGGAGGCCAGGAGCAGGCCAAAGAGCCCTCACGAGTCATTGTGGACATGCGTGAGTTCCGCAGTGAGCTGCCTTCCTTGCTGCACCGCCGTGGCCTGGACATCGAACCCGTCACCCTAGAAGTAGGCGACTATATCCTGACCCCGGACACATGCGTCGAGCGCAAGAGCGTCAGTGATCTGATTGGCTCATTGCAGAGCGGCCGCCTCTACACCCAGTGTCTCTCCATGACCCGCTACTACAAGAAACCAGTGCTCCTCATTGAGTTCGACCCACAGAAACCGTTTTCCTTAATGGCCCGATCGGATTTCCGTCATGAGATATCTTCTAATGATATTTCTTCAAAACTCACTTTACTCACCTTGCATTTCCCACGACTGCGTATACTCTGGTGCCCCTCTCCACACGCCACAGCGGACCTCTTCCTGGATCTAAAGCAGGGTCGCTCTGAACCCGATGCTGCGGCAGCTCAGGCAGTCACAGCCGAGTCAGACATGGTGGCTGAATCAGCAGACCTGTACAACCCCGGACCTTATGACTTCCTGTTGAAAATGCCTGGGGTCAATACAAAAAACTATAGGGCACTTATAAAAAATGCAAACAGTGTGGCAGATTTGACCAAACTCAGCCAGGACAAGCTAGCAGAAATACTTGGCAATGCTAACAACGCTAAGTTGCTGTTTGAGTTTCTGCATAATGATGCTAACGTCCCTGCCCCTGTGCAGAAGGCCAAACAGGATAGGCAGTAAAGCACCTGACTATAATAAATATAGATCCTAGCATCAGGATTAGTTTTGCATTTTAAAACTGGATGAAAATAGTGTGAATGTAGAACCAGGTAGACTAAATTTGCTCCTTGTATTTGTAAAGTGTGAGTATTAGTTGAGTCATCAGAAGTGAAATGTGTTATATTAATGTACAGAATGAACTGAAATAATTCAGGCTTTTCTATTGTATTTTGTAAATCACTCAAATGCAAATTTAACATTATTTTTTTTATATAACAGAATAAAATGTTTTTACATTCTGAAAAAATAAAGTTGTCTTTGGAAGTTAAGATTTCTAGAACAACACCTGAAGGGTACCGCACTCTTAAAATATACATTTAACATTGATTTTAGGTTTCGATAAGGATGCGACCCTTTCTCACTTTTACAACTTTCCTTCAGCTACTCATCCAACAAATTAAAACCACCAATTCAGTTTAGCGTTCCAACATCCAGCATTCACATCACAGTTTCTTCAGAATTTGCTTCTTGTTTCCTTTAGACCTTTCACCCACTACAGTTTGAAGACTTGCGAAATTAACTACACACCTAAGCCCCGGTGAGATTATTTTCCCATTTACGGCAGCTATATGCACTATTTTTCAAGCCGACAGAGATAATAGCATGCCTAAAACTCATCATTATGAAAATGTTGATGAATGATAGTTGCACAGGAAAAATAATAGTCTACTTGTATCTAATTGTTTTCCAGCTGTGTTCATCATTCAGAAAACCATAAAATAAATGCTGAGGATGATTAATTTTCACTCCTGCCTCCTAAAAAGCAGCAAAAGTTACTATTTTTACTATTTTTTTTTTTAGTTACATAACATACTACGGTAGGAATTTAGCGTGAACAGCATTACTAATCTTGAATTTTTGTATTGAGTCCAGAGAAGGAATGTTGCTGACACATCTACTACATGTGAATCCTTATGTCATTAATGTAAAAGATGAAAATACGTCGCCAGTATTAGAACTTTTGCTCCATTGATTTCCTGGTTCAGTTAGAGAGACTGAGGGGAAATTACATACCATTTAAGTTGCTTTAAAAGCCCTAACATTTGGGACTGGAGCCCAAGAAGCCAGTCGCCTTTACCACCCCTGAACTACACATATTTTTCACCTACTTTTACCTTATGTACTAATTAAAGTAATCCATTCCAGAGCATGATGTTCTTGTGCTCTGTCAGATACACTCCTCCAGTATGACACACTTTATTGAATCCTGTCTGCAAATGGTCTTTCATTGTAGAACATGAGTAATCTGGCTTTACTTTACCTTTACATTTGTACTTTTAATTTCTCAAGTAAAGTCTAACAGCAAACTACAAATAATACAGAGGAACTGAATGAGGATGCCTGATTTTACTCTCCTCATCGTGGGCGTCTAACATTGTCACTGTAGCAAGTAATATAAATAATATGCGAGAACAAAAAGCAGATGTGTTTGCTGATCACGTTCAGAGCTCAGTGGTGGATTCGTGGTGTTTTATACAGTAGAAATAATAAAGTGCTGATAGAGAGGACAGCGATCCCTCCGCCACTCCCCCGACTCTTCCTGTCTCACAGCGTCATTACGTCACTCTGCATCCGAACCGAGACCAGTCGCAGCCATTTTACTCCGCGAAATAAACTTCAATCTCATAGCTACAGAGGGGGGGGAAATAAACACAGAAGACAGCTCCACTGACATTAATGGACCTCTCTTTGTGAACCAGAGCTCGGGCTGATTCGGGTTCCCAGTCTTCGCAATTCGGTAAGCCCACAGACCCGCAGCGGCGCTGTCATGTTTTTAGCATGTTAGCCTGTGTTAGCTGAACCGAGCTAACTGGCGAAAACTGTGAGGAGGTTGTTGTTGAGGATAATGCAGACACAGACGGGCAGACGAGGCTCGGCAAGACTACACAGCAGAGCAGCAGCAGCGAGGCTTTAACTGTGACTTATTGTTTCTTAGTCCCAGCAATGGTGGCCACGCCAGCCTTTTCATTGTGCTTTATGGCTGCCACTATCTGCTGCTGCTCACTCACCTGTCAGATTTAAAGTAACTAGCCGCCGTTAGCTCATCCCGCACACACCCGCCTCCACCACCGCGATAACAGACAGCCGTGTCAATAACAACACCGCCGGGGAAATGTATTCAAGCTGTAAACTATCTGCTTGTCAGGTTACTGCTATTCGTGAGTCTGGTGTAGACTTTATATCTATGTCCGCCGTTTCCTCTTGAGCCGGGATGCTCTCTGAATGACTGGCAGCCCAATTACTCCGGTAATACTAACCGGGCACGCTGTGTAATGAGGCCCCCTCTCGCCTGCACAAACCCCAGGATGTTATCTTATTGCCTGCCGATCGATTGGAGTGAGGACAGGGAGTGAGGACAGGGAGCGAGGACAGGGAGTGAGGACAGGGAGTGAGGACAGTGCTGCAGCAAATCCAACCAGGTGGCGGTCTGTGTGAGTCATACAGGCAGGCAGGATGTGGTGGTTGTCAGCGGCGGCCCTTTCCAGCCAAAGTCTGTCACCGAAAAGTGTGAATTGTTAGCGTTTATTTAAATTCTATGCACTATGGTTGGATGGGGGAGTATATATCTCAAGGCTGTTAGCCATACATCCCTGTGTGTTTGGCTTATTATATATATATAAGTATATTATTGGTTGCAGGAAGACCGTCTGCTCACATCACTTCAGATTAGGGTATCCATGTCCCTCCATCATGGACTATATATGCTCTCCACGTGCTGAATTCAGTTAAAATGAAACCAGATATCACAATGCAGGCAGACGGGTTTGATTCTTTAGCTTTAGAATGGGCTTCCTCCTTACAGTGATTGTAGAAACCGGACTCTACTGGGTTGCAGGAGTTGTTAGTACTGACGTGCTAAGAGTTATCTACCCAGAGAAAAGGGTGCCACCCTGGGCCGTTTCTTCAGGCTTTCCTTTCTCGGAAACTACTTTACATAACCTGCCTACATTATTCTTCATTGCAGGCTGCGCTCTCTCCTGAAGTGTAGCTAAGTAGCTGCTGTGATGGTCCTTCGTTTCTTAGGTGTGACAGTCCCATGGTTTTAGGCTTCCAGCCAATGAGACCTTGGTTTTTTTTTTGTATGTTCGATTCTTTTGTACTGTTTTTAGAAGAAGTCCACAAAGGCAGCCAGGAAGGAAATGACACCACACGTCTGTGGGAACAGAGCAGAACAGCGACTGTAGTGAATGAGCCACAGTGATGACATCATTTCTGTCTTATCTCTGGATAAAAGAAGACATTTTTGTGGGACTAGACGTGGACTAATTAAGGCCCAGAAACCCGCATACTAAAACTGTAGTTTATACATATATATTATGTTATAATGTAAGGCATTATATATCGTCATTGAGTTTCATCACAGCAGAAACCAGACGTCCTTGATGCTTCATGGTTTATTAACTCTCAGACCGAGGCTGCAGTTTTCAGTTATCTCACGTTGTCAGTTAAGTGAATGTGTGTGTATGTGAATGCCTGTGGGTATTTCATCACTCGAATGCTTCGCAGCCAGGCCTATTTGTAGTAAAGTTGACCCATGACCTCTACTCGTCAGCATGCAGAGACCGGGAAGTTGTGTGTTACTGTTGTGGATACATAACTCTGTGGTTGGCAAAATAACTGATTTACTGAAAACATGATTGTGAAATGCTGGTTGGACTTTGAATATTGTTTCATATCCTGATTCCCCAAACAAGAAGTTGTATGTTTTTTTTGTTCAGTCTCGTCAACCTTAAGAAAGGGCCTCTCGCATCTTTTATGAGTTTTGGGGACACCATAGTTTCTCTGACATGCTTGAAACGAGAGGGTAAGGTGAGGGGTGTTCAGTAGGGCTGCCAGTGAAAAGTCGATGATTTAAGTCATCATTGGAGAACACCCTGAGTTGAGTTGCATTTTTTCAGTCGAATCTCTGCACTTTTATTATTTAGCTGCGCCCTTATAACAGAGCAATGCCAGAGCGACAGCATGTCAGGTTATACACTTTACAAAGTCTCAAATTGAACACAAATCACCAAACTAAGATGGAAGCAGTGAACGGTGACAGAAACTGAGGGTTTGTGTGACGCCGAGACAGCAGCTCGACTCCAGTCTGTTGGCTCTTTGCTCTGGTGATGACTGTCGGTAAAGTCGACTAAACCTCTTTTGAAACAGACGCTGGTAAGACGTCCTCTACTGTCATCCACTGTGGTTGACTCATCAGCTGACAGCAGCATCCCGGAAGGAGAGACGCTTCGTGGTGTGCTGGAACTGAACTCTGAGGAATGACGCAGACTTTGACTTTCTCTGACTGTGTGGAAATCTGATGTTTTCACATTACAGATGACGAATAAAGGCATTAAAACATGAGACTCATGTCGGCTGATATAGAAGTTCAGTGTTGCACTGAACTAAAAAAAAAAATAGAGGACTATTGGTATTTAAATGCCAAATCTGATTCGACGGACAAAATTCTGAGTCAGGTACAACCCTAGTACGGTATTCAGTTGGTTGCAATCTGCAACCTCACTGCTAGACTCCACTAAATCCTTCACACTAGTCCTTTAAGGCAGTAGAACGTCATAAACCCTCTCACCTACATTACGTACTTCTAGGCCTTTTTATAAGGTTGTGAACAGCCTCAGGACAGACACACCTAGATACTGGCATCAGACTGCAAAAATGTACGCTCAAATGATGACCTAGTTGAGGTCTGATCTTCAGGTGCTGCAGTTATAAAAACAAAGATGAAAGCTGAAGCCAGTTTTTGTTTTCCGTCCGTCATAGATTCCACCCCAGTTGATTTAGATAGGTGTGAGATGCTATCTTCGCATTGAGCTCCACGATAAGCGTGATAAGCACCTAATGTGGTTCCTCATTAGCTGTATGAATACACATTGAAAATGATAAGATAAGATAAAATAAGATATTCCTTTAGTTGTCTCACAATGGGGAAATTCCGATAAAAATGAACTGCTGTTGTCGTTGTCCTGATGTTGATACAACATGAATGTTGGCAACACATTTAGCACGAAAGCAAGCTGTGAGCTGAGGGAAGGGGTGGGTAGATTTGTTAATATCTTTGTGGTTGCACAGTACAGCATTGATAATTGACATAAGCATGGGCCACTGCAGAGACCAGGGTTTAAATAGCAAACACCCCCAGTGGCAGAATAAGACTAGTGTCATGTGACGTATGAGCGGACAACCCGAACCTTTTTATAGCCCTGACCCGTCATTCATTGTTGAAACGTTTGTGGAA